AGAATAATCATATCCAAGGGCCAGTGGTGGGTTTCAAAACATTTTGGAACCTCTTCTGTAGATGTGGCCTGCTTTCCGGGTCTACTGATGGAACCTCTTCTAACCGGTTCGGTAGATTTGATGAACCGGTTCTACCGAATAGGTGCGAAATGGTAGGAACCCACCTCTGGATCAGGGATGCCTTCCTTGGAGACGGTGGGGCAGTAGAATAAGGAGAGTTTTCCACCCTGGACACTTGGAGATTTCGGAGGGACTGTGAAAAGCCTTAAGAACTCTTCAAAGATGGAGTGGTCAACTTTCTCTCTCTTTCTCTGCTATGTTTGACCCATTTCCTGCGTTCATGTCCATGTTTATACTTGGTACATGTTTGACAAACCAATTAACTAAATAAATAAAAAGATTTCATTGCCACACTTCATTCAGGTTTTTTTTCTCTTTCTCTTTCGCTGCTATGTTTCACTTTGACTCTTAGTGCTAAAAGGATTCCAGACAACACATCCTGGCTAGAATATGTCTCTTTAAAGTAGAAGTGAAATTTTTATCTCCTGCCACTTCTTGAAATTTCTCTTCAAATTTATTTGGCGGTGGAGGGTGGGGAACAGATTTGCTTTAGAACTGAAAGTCTCTCATTTCTTCCCTATAATTCTTAGCTCCTCTCCAATTTTTTTCTCCCTTCTCCACAGGAAGTTCTATGAAGTGCGAATATTGCACAGCAATTAATACCCATTGCTCTGGTCCGAAGGAAGAATGTCCTTTTGAGAATGATGTCTGTATGAGGTTGAATATCACAATTCTCGACATATGTGAGTAAGGCAAGCCACCTAACTGGGATTGATTATATGCCAACAGGACGTTGATGATTCTTCCAACAGTGCCTCCATCATCACTGTACAGGCAGTCCTCGATTTACAACCACAATGGTGCCCAACGCTTCTGTTGTTAAGTGAGACACTTGTGAAATGAGTTTTGCCCCATTTTACGACCACTCTTAAGTGAATCCCTGCAGGTGTTAAGTTAGTGACACAGTTGTTAAGTGAGTCTGGCTTCCCCATTGACGTGATCTTGGGACAGAGCAACAGTCATAAATATGAACCCGTTGCCGAGTGTCCGAATTTTGATCACATGATCTCAGGGATGCTACAGATGGCCATCAGGCCAAAGTCCCATTTCCCCAATACCGTTGTAAAGTTGAACGGTCACTAAAAAAACTGTTGTAAGTTGAGGACTACCTGTAAGGAGTAGTCTTGAGGCTGATTCTTCTCTTCTCTTTCCTTCTAATTTTCCCAGCACTAGAGCTTTCTCCAGAGAGCTGGGTCTTTACATAATGTGTGTGAGGTATGATCATTTGAACATAGTCGTGTAAAAAGGGTTAGAAATCTGTATTACAGGGGTGTCAAACTTGATCCTACAGAGATGGGTTTGAGCTTGGGGGTGGCCATGGTGGGCATGGCCATGGACAAGCTGAAGATGCATTGTTCCCCTTTCTTTCAGATCTTCACTATAACCATTTTCCTATCTATTCCACCAGATATTCCACCCCTTGAAGTGAGCGATGTTGACTTCGCCACTCCCACCCAGTCACATGGCCACCTAGCCACTTCCACCCAGTCACATGACCTCCTAGCCACTCCCACCCAGTCACATGGCCACCTAGCCACTTCCACCCAGTCACATGACCTCCTAGCCACTCCCACCCAGTCACATGGCCACCTAGCCACTTCCACCCAGTCACATGGCCTCCTAGCCACTCCCACCCAGTCACATGGCCACCTAGCCACTTCCACCCAGTCACATGACCTCCTAGCCACTCCCACCCAGTCACATGGCCACCTAGCCACTTCCACCCAGTCACATGACCTCCTAGCCACGCCCACCCAGTCACATGGC